GACTCGCTGACGCAACAATATAATTGGTGAATAAAACAGAAGATTAACTAGGACAACAGCTTATCATACTAGTTGAAAAGAATAGACGTTATGAAATTTGAAAACAGGGACAGAACTTTAACAGCAAGATTTTACTCATTCACGTCAAAAACGAATCTAAATGGTAACTATATTTCTGTTTTCTCACGATCTATATTGTCCCAATAGCTGACCAAGCAAAAAATTGGATCACAAGTAAAATTAGCGCACGACCTCGTCTGAATTCAACACGTTTCGTACTAGAACTTTATAAAAGCCCCCAAGTAGCAGAGCGGCATGTCTGCGGACTTATACTGCTAGAAACCGAGTTTCGATACTCGTGGTGAGCAGAGCACAGATAGCCCTTTGTGTAGCTTTGTGCTTAATAACAAACAACAACAATAAAAACTTTACAAAAGTTTAAACTTTTTATATAATATAAAATATATATATACTAGAAGAAAGTAAAATATGTAATATGTTCGAGTTTTAGATTTTTTATGCTACCCTCTTGTAATTACAAAGTAAAAGAGGGATGCTATACTTAAGTACTGAAATTAATTCAGGAAAATATGTTTCAGAAATATCAACTGATGCTATTTCGGAATTGCACAAAAGGATTAATGTGGTTCAGCTCACATGCACAAACTGGAAATTGTTCACAAAATCTGTTAAAATTTTCTTCGATTTTTTGTCTGAAATTTAGATTTCCTGATGCTGTTTGAGAGACATACCGCAAAGTATTCGTTTTGGCTTGAGTTATCTTCCCTCCCTCTTTAAATTGTTTTCAGGAATATATGTCAGGATTTCATCCCTGTTCTTTCCAAAGTTTCAGAATACTTCTTGCTGTTGTTGTTCCGAAAGTGTCAGGCAGAATGGGTTAATTTGTTATAAAATCATCTAATTTGTATCTAAACAATGATAAGTTGCTTACTACTTAATTTGCAATAATATTCTTTTTTTCTCAAACGTTAATGAAGTTTTTAAATGTAATAATGTGGTGTGTGAAGTACATCAGATATTTCTTTTCCATTTAGTTTCAGAAGGTGAAAATTTCTTCTTTAGGAATTTCACAGAATTTTGTGAAAAAAGAATCGGAATTATACGTGTCTAAGGTGGAAAAGTTAGTTCCTCTCTGTTTATTTCTTTTTCTGATATAACAGCGCAGGCATATGGGAATTAAAATAGGAAATACTATTAAGATTAACTGAAGAAAATCGGGGGTTGGAAGGTGTGGGTTGAATGCAACTTAATTTCAATTCTACGTACTTTTAAAAATAGCTTCATTTCCAAGGGATAGCAATTAAGGCATTATTTGGCCTATATGAGACATCTTTTTTTATAATATTGTTACGTCTCCGTTCGTTAGTTGATTTTCCGCAACTTCGTTCCGACGAAACTTTAGCGACACAAGTCCTTTCTTAATAAAACTGGTTTATTCTTTCTGAATATAACTTTACCGATACACTTATTTTCAACAGTCGCTCTATAACAAACGCTATAACAACTAACGTTAACTTCAACAATATTTTCTGACTGCAGTTCAATTACTCACTACCTACACACACACTGTCACGTCACGCCGTGACCATCTTATATATACCATGCCACCCCCAATCTAGCAAATGCTAGAGCACTCCCGAAGGAACAGGATAGTTCTAGAAAATAGGTGGCGTGACACCAGTCACGTGACCTCGCTGACGCAACAATATCATCCTAATCCAAACTACTCTTTTTCCAATAACAAACACTGATCACTGCTGTAGGAAGCAATTTTAAGTAGTCAGACCATTGCCACAGCTAATCAATGTGACATACAATGTCCACAAAGCACACTACTGAGATACAAAGCATGCTATTTCTATTTTTAGGAGGATTGGGAGCATGCCCTCCAGAAAATTGTTTGAAAATTGAATGCTATCAGATTGAATCTTGAGCCATTTTAACTACAAAATTGCATACAGACAACGTAATGTATTGACGTGAAAGAAGCAAGTTTTAATACGTAAATTGTAGCTATAGATGCCATAAAAAAATGGTAAGACTATGACCTGACTGGCCTTACCACTTCCTATGGTCCTGCTGATCTCTAAGATATTCATCCAATCTATTCTTAAGTTATTTCAATGATAATTACATCTTCTACAGCTTTTGTAGGTAAACTATTCCATAGGCTTACTATCCTATTAGCAGTGATGTAAATGCGGATACACGCCGTGTACCTATTTCTCAGTTTGCATTTTCCCCTGTTACGTCTCCGTTTGTTAATTAACTTTCCGTAACTTCGTTTCCGACGAAACTTTAGCGACACAAGACCTTACTTAATAAAACTGGTTTATTCTTTTCGAATATAACTTTACGATACACTTAATTTCAACAATCGCGCTAAAACAAACGCTATAACAACGAACGTGCTCAACTTCAATAATACTTTCTTACTGCAGATCAATTACTCACTACCTACACACCCATTATTGTCCCGTCACGTTGTCACTCTCTTTTATATACCAGACTACCCTATATCTAGTAAATGCTAGAGCATTCGCCAGGTACAGGATAGTTCTAGAAACGTGGCGTCACACTAGTCATGTGACTCGCTGACGCA